CTCTAGAGTATAGTAAACACAGCACAGTGGATCTTCAGATCCTCTTTGACCAAAACTGAAGATATTTACTCAGCCTGCCTGCTCAAGCGGTCAAAGAGCAATTTAAAAGACCCTTCATAACCAGCATGCTGCCAAGGTACACAAGGCACATATGAACTGGCTCAGACATTATAACATATTCTTTTAGAACCAGCAAGAATTAGTTGCTTTTCTGCTTTTTTTAAAAATTGACTATATCAAGTTTTATTTCTATAGATTAAAGATTTTGTATAAGTAGAGTGTATTGTCAAACTGTGGTACTTTTACTCAAGGTTATCATAACATAAAAGCCTTTTAGGTCATGATTCATTACAGCTTTCTCTTGACTGTCATATATTTCCCAAGCCAAAAAGATGAAAAAAGAGACATTATGACTCAGGGGCAGAAATCTTCCCAGACAACACAACAGTCCCTTAAACTGGCAACAAGAAAAATAGATGGGGTCTCTCCAGTAAACACAGAAAAGCCTGCATTTGGTTTAGTTGTGTACACTGTATACAATAAGCTTTTGGAAGGATTTTGGGGGTGTGTGTGTGTGTGCGCTATCTTTTGTGTGTAGTTGTGTATTGTGTGCAGTATAATGGATGATGAAAACGTTCTAAATACATCAACTATTTGAATGTTGTGGAAATCTATTACCCTTTGAAGTTCACAGTAAATGATTTATACATAAGAATATTCAAACAAATTTATTTTGTTTAGGAACATTGTCCCTCAAAGTCCAATTACACTGTTAAAATTTTCTTTGTGGGTCTAACTGCAGTGCTCTAACAAAGCTGTGCAGTTTGTCAAAGGGTTCCTTCAAAAGCCTGTTTACACAAACATTTACATTCCTCTGTAATGTTTCACATCTGAATATTCCTTAAAAGAGAAAGTACAATAATACAAAAATCATGGATTGTCTTCAAAGGAATAAAAAATAGCAGTTCAGGAGTTAGATCATGTCTGGACAATGATTACGTGTGTCATTCATATTTAATGGCAAATAGTTTTAAACTTAACTCTTTAAAAGATCACATTTTAACACACAGCTCAACATCCCTAAAGAGTAAACAATGTTGCGAAGACAAGGAAGATAATCACTCATTGATGGAAGTAGGAGTTATATTAAAGCTTAGAGAAATAGATGAATAAGAAAAAATGAAGAAAAAGCAGTATTGCAAGTAATTTAAAACCAATGTGATACTTACTGACTTGGATCTTTAGAAATATTTACATTTTCACAGTCACATAAGCTGGATATCACACAAACTAACATCAATTTATTATTAAAAGTGTGAGAAGAAGGTTATTTATATGGACAAGAATTTTGGTTGCTGGGAAAAACATTTAGTTTAGTAGTCAGCTTTTCCTTCAGCAACTGATAAAACCAAAAATTTCATCCATAAGAGCAATAAGAGGTTTATATTTTAATAAATATTCTGGCATTGCCATTGAGTCACTTATTTGAATTTACATTATAAGGGGAGCTTTGATTATGATCAATATTAATTAATAGTATAAAAAATGCTTAAAAACATAATATGTGAGAAGAACTGCAGAACACAATGACTAAAATTGTGTGCTTAATCATCAGTGGATAAATATTATTAGGCAACACAAAACTCAATTAATTTTTGGCCTTACTTTGTATCCACTGACTCGAGGGTCAGCAGAGACCACCTGGTGTTACCACTGGTGATGATCCGCAATATTCACAATATGGATTTTTTCATGACACTTATGTTTAAAATGAGTTTTATCTGAATAACTTTAAATACATATCAAAGTTCCTCTTAAATGAATAACCTTATTTTAAATTTTCAAAAATGCTTTGACAATACTTGAAATATTCCATAATTTGATGCAACTTAAATAATGTTAACTTGTTTGAAACTTTGGTACTAAGGGCAACCCTGGCTAAGAAGTATTATTTTGGCTACAGCAATGAATTACTGACATTTCTTTTCAGTACTCTAAAGAAAGTGTTAATAAAGTTTCATTAGACGTCTAACATGACATAGTTTTCACATTACCCCAACCCTGATTGGTCCATGTCTCCTCTCGAAGATCCTTCACAATGCACCTCAGGATCCAAACAGAAGATTTTTCCAACTAGATCAAAGAGGGCTTATAACCTTTGAGGATTTGGTTGGAATAAACAGTTTTGTTTGCATCATACGTTAAGCCACTTTTGACTGTTTTTGTGTAAAACTGTGCAAGATTCTACTTTTCCTCAAAAAATTTTGAAGCATCACCAAATAACTTAAATGATCATCATCACTACACAAAGCCTAAAATATCCATGTTTGGATATCTGGAATTCACAGTGACAGTTTTAAACATTATGAGGGATGCAGAAAAACGTCAAAGGATAATCTGTTAATTGTACTTTAATATTTGTTCTTGCCTTCGTCTCTTCCATACAACGGGAACAGCTTGTGTAGCGCCTGTAGCACTAGACCAGCTCACCCCTCCGTAAAATGCCCCTTAACCTCTCCCCTGTCACACACAAGGTCAATTTCATGCTGGTTTCAAAGCCATAAAGTCGCACTGAGCAAGTCATGCTTTGGGCGCCGGGCGACTGAGGAATGTGTACCGCACAGTCGCTTGCACTCAATCACAGATGCACACTGACATGCAGGGAGCTGCACACCCTCCCAGGGCTGAAACATCTTTATCTAAGTACCTTTATCAGAAAGCACTTCTGACCAGCTTTTGTTGTGGCCATAAATATTGAGTGTGTGTGTGTTTTTTTTTTTTTCCCATCTGTCTGCTTTGTTTCTTTGCTTGTGTGTGAACATAATATTCGCTTCTTCTTCCGTCGGAAAAACAGAAACAAACGGTTGCATGCTGTGTTGTTGGTCTGAGTGGAGAAAGGGGGCCTGACCCCTAGAAAAGAGGAGGGGTGAATAGACTTTTGACGCCAGAAGCCCAGACCGCAGCTAATAGAGAACAGGTGTGGTGGTGAAGAAAAAAGAAGAGAGGAGAGGAGATAGAAGGAGGACTACAGCAGCTATGGATGTTCTTGTAGTTAAATCAAATATGAGTTAGAAAGGCTATGCCTACAAGTGCATCAAAGGGCCCTCACATGCAGTGAATGTATTGTTTTAAACTGACCATGTGTGTGTGAGTAGCTGTAGAGGCTTTGGCTCGGAGGGGTGCCGCTGAAGTTTGAGTAGCCCAGGAGTCCTGTTTGTCCTGGAGAGTGACTCAAACCATCCTCTGTTTTTATGTCTAAAATAAAAACAACACAACATTTGTGATATATTCAACATAAAACATATGGGCATCCACTACGGTAAAATACGAGTTTAATCTATTGATCTCTGCTACCAATAGCCACCGTTTAACTATGACCAAACAATTCCACCATTTGTTTTTGGAAGCTCAAACTATGACTAGTTATCTGGATGTGCAAAATCTAGACAACAAATTAGCCATGGTTCTTGCTTTTGTAAGTCAATAAAAAATTATGTGCTCGTTTCTTGAATTAGACAATATTTCCACAAGGCAATAAACATTGCTTTACTGTTTAGCACTACAAGGCACAAGCTGTACTGCGACCCTCTGTGGGATTAAAAAAAAACATTTAGTCTTGAAAACCAGTGTCTAAACTTAGGCAATATCCTGCAACCAAATGCAACCAAATTTCTAAAAATACCAGAAATGGCATGCCAGAATGTAAAACTAAATAAAAATCTTTTTATAGTTTGGACTTTACATTTTGTCAGTTTTGTGGTCATAATAAAAACGTGTCAGAAGACTTTATGTTTGATATATGTTTTTATAGATGCAACATGTTTCATGATACAACAACTAACATGTCCCAGGAAATCTGAAATGTCAGAATGCTAACAAGATACCACCGGAACATCATAAAGGATCACACATTTTGTACAGCTGAGTTCAACTTCACCAAGGCCTGATTGCCTCCAGACATGCAGAATTAAAACGTTACTTAAACAGAACTTTCCTGACAACATGAAGTATCCTAAAATATTTAAAAAAGAAACACACTATGACCCTTTTCTACTGAAATTCAAAAACAGATTAAATTACATATCTTAATTTAGAAAGAGTTAAAAAGCAATTTCAAAGCATTTGGGACTCTAGTGAACCAGAGTGAAACATTATCCACAAATTGATAAGAAACAAAACAAAACATCCCACCCAGGAGTGAGTGATTTACCAAAATGACTCTTAAAAGCACATCCACGACTCATCCAGGAGGTGATAAATTATGTCAGATTAATATCTAAAGAACTAAAGCCCACAGTTGAGGTCAGCATTTATGATACTGCAGTTAGAATCAAGGTGGAAACCACTACTGAACAAAAACAACAGACATGTCTGTTCAAAGTTCTCCAAAAATAAAAGCAACACATTTTTGGGGAAAATATTCTGAGGACTGATGAAACAATAGTGGACATTTTCAGAAGATACTGAATAGATCTATCATTCAGTCTTTTATTACAGTTAGCTCACAGAGCTAACTTTTTACAGGAATAACATTTTTCAAACATAATACTGAGTTTGTTTGTACTCACTGTAAGAGGGCATGCTGTAGCCTTGTGTATGGTGTGTATAAGCTGTGTATGGTACTGCGGGTTGAAGGGCAGGGCTGTACTGAGTCTGTCCGTATGCAGCCATGGCTTTGATCCTACAAGACAGAAGGCATAAAATAAGGTTGTTTCAGCAAAACATTTGTTCTTGGGAAATTTAATTGTGGAGTGAAGAACTGTTTTCAGTCAGAGAACAGACAACAATCTGAGCCATTGTTTACCTCTAACTTTAAAGAGCTTCTAAAAAGCACAAATATTGTTGGACTCGTCTCACAATCAAAATTCTAAATTATTATTATTTTTTATTTTATTTTAATCTTCTACGTATATGCGAGAAGACATGATGCACTGCATCGTAAATCTATTTAAATTTAGTGTCAAATGTCACAACGAACTTAGGCACCAGAGGTAAGGTAAAGTAAGGCAATTTTATCTATATAGCACATTTTCAGCAACAAGGCAATTCAAAGTGCAAAGCTCTGAATATGAAGCCGTCAATGAGAAGAGGTGTAATTAAAAAAAAAAAGATCAGTTGAAAAAACCTAAAAACTTTTAATTAATAAAAAAAGAAAAGTATGAAAAAATAAATAGATGATTCTTTGGGGCTAAAATTAGTTACATTACATGTGCTGAAAAATCTCACTGATCAAAAACTAAGGACACGTCTTAAGTAAATGTTCTTTTTTTTGGCAATACAATTTACAATAAGGTCACAGAACCTGTTTGATAACTTCAGGGACTTTCTGCTTTGTTCTTTTCCTTTTTCTCTCTTACCTGCTCCTATTGAGAGAGCCGTATCTTCTTTATCCTGTCACCCTCCTCTTAAATCAGGTTCCTCTGAGTACGTCAACTCTCCTGTGGAAACAATCAGGGCCCAGATATGGAGTTCACTGATCCTCGATGACCTGCTTTTTGCTTTCATCAGATTTTTGGCAGCCAAAGAAGAAAAAAAAAATCCATAAACACGAGGCAAAATGTGAAAAAGTATGGAAAAAATGAGAGCTTAGATGTTATCTTAGTGCGAAAAGACTTAGCAATTTCAGTTGCAGTCAAATTATAAATAATGTTTCCTGGAAAATTGTTGATTTACGCTTCTGACTGGCACCTGTACTTTTGGCACCTTGAAAATATTCAGGCTGTCTAACTGCAGAAGGAACATAAACACCAAGAACAAAGCAGTGTTAGCTGCCAACTGACAGCACTGTGTGTTTTTTAATATGCTAGTCTCAATGGTGAACAGTAGAGCTTTGTTAAACAGAACAAAATAAGACGGGAGATTTTGTTTTAGTTTTTCTGCCCTTCTCATTGTGGATTAAACTCACTGGCAGTTCTCTGATTAACACCAGATATAAAATCTCTTTTTACTGAGATTTTAATTTACTAGATAATCCAAATATAAACATATTTAGATTTTTTTATATATTAATTCAGCTTATGATACAGTTATAATGAGAACAAGTCATATGTGATGAATGAATTCCATATAAATTTTGCACTTTGATTTTTTAATTCCTCTTTACTAGTAAATAATGAACGTATGGGGGAAAAGAAAAACAAGAGCTAATGGTATAAAATGTAATTAATTATGAATAATCTATATCCCATACAGGGTCAAAATTATGCATACAAGTTTCAAAAGAACACATAACACTGGAACTGATAAACTAAATAACCAAAACAACCAAAAACAAAAATAAAATGGACTCTCAGTCTCCATTAACAACGTACTTGAATTAAAACTAAACAACATAAAGCCAAAGTGGAAATATACTGCATTCAACCAAAAGAGTGCAGATTATGGAGTCTGTTTACTGTATTGGCCTTCAGTAATCACTAGATTTAAATAGAGAAGATGGACACATCCGACTACCTAATGCAATAGTTCATACTACACAAATTTTTCCCCCTATTTTCTCCTTATGACAATCTTAGATTGTTGGCTGATCTAAGATTGTTGCTACAGGATGATCGGTTACGATCATCCTGTAGTGTGATGTAGATTGTCGTGGCTGCTCCGATCTAAATCAGGGGTTTTCGGGAGCTTAACGCTGAATGTGACAGGTAGCCAATCAGAAAGCGCGGATTCTCCTACGAAGAACAGCTGAACAGGTCGATAGGTTTAATTTATTGTGCGATTATTTGATTTATCGTTTATCGTGACAGGCCTAGTTGTCCATGGTGAAATGAGTTTTACATTGTCATGCAATAAAAGAGTTTCACCCAAGAAGCTTCAAAATTAACATCTTCAATCCAAATTGCCCACATGGACAATTTCTCTGAACTTTTTGTGCAGAATCATTAGCTTCTGGCAATGTTTTCTTGTGGCTTGTGCTGCACAAAGGAGTCTCTCAGACAGTCTGAACAAGGTTTCTGCAAACCATGGATTGCATATAAATATTTTCCCTAAAATGTACCACAACTACAATGTTTTGTCCCTTTTTAAATTAGGTTTTGTTTTATCCCTGATGAAAAATGCATGTTGTTGAAAGTTAATGTTTCTAAAAAATGCAGAATATTCTACCAAAGTATTTAATTTTTGTTTATGTTAGAATGAAACTGTCACATTTAGTTTGGGAATTCCATCAGTATTCCATTTTCTTTACTTCCCCTTTTTTTCTTTCTCCTTCTTGTTGCAGTTGCTTTGGGACCACTCTGTTGTAGCAATGCTGCAATTTTAACCTTGTTGAAAACATGACTAGACAGAGAGATGACAATTGTGAGTTGTTGAGGCAAAATGTTTTTAAAGAAAGAGAAACTGACAAAAAGTGATATTTGAAAAAGACAAAAATAGATTTATGCATATTTTTCTTTTTTTTGTATTTTTATAAAAAAAATGATAAGGGTTAAGCGTAAACTTTAATTTTAAGATCTGAGTATATGTTAATTATCGAAAATCGGAAATAGTCCAAAACTTTTTATTATTTTACTATTTATTTTCCCATAAATCCTGGTATGATCTGTATCATAGCAGACTTTGTTGCCCTACAAAATGACAATGATTGTGGGCAAGGAACAGTATCAGGGTAGTGCTTTGCACATCCTAGAACTTCTCTCAGATCAAAATTGAAATGTATGGTCATTTAGCAAGCTCTTGATTTCAAAATGGACACACATACATCTTCAAGAACTGTGTGTGTCACCACCGAGGCACTTCCTTGTTCAGGGTGAGGCCCAAGAGCAGGGCGTCCAAGGCCATGGGAACTACAGGACACCGGAGGGGAGATGAGCGGAGCTCAGCAGAGCCGTGGAGAGCCGAGGTCTGAAACTAAAGCTAAAACAAACTCAGAGGGGCCACAGGGGGCCACAAGGCCACAAGGCCAGTTCCACCAGCTTCACCTGGGTTCCAGGGATCTGCTAGACCGCTGCTTCTTTCACGGATATCAAATTCTAGCTTTTATGTTGTGTGTTATGCATTAAGTGCAAATGAGAGTATAAACTCTTCAAAGAGCGTTCCAATAACTAAAATATTTAATAATAAAAATATGACTACACAGCACGGAATGAGTTTTGAACACAGTTGAAAAATAGTTCATTGATGTTTTCACTGACCTCTAACATCTGAAGCCATGTGAGAATGCCATTGTGGGGATTTGTGACATTCAATCATAATCTTGTATTTGTTTATCCATAAGTAAATGTGGTAAAAAGTAAAGAAAAAAAATTACCAAAGTTTAACTTATACAGGAGAAAAATAACATTTTCCAGTTGCTACTTTTTTCAGGTTGCCTGAAAAAAGTATATTTTCATAAACTTAAGCACCTTTAATGGTTTATGTAATGATTGGCGTAAGCACTCTGACATAAAGTCTTTTGGTTAAAAGGCATATATTTTTACTTTGATGAGTTTCTCTCAACGGTTGAAGCAGAGAAGACATGTTAGTTCTCCATAACTAGGAATATCAAGTGCCCTCAGCAACCAAAGGGTTTTGTGTTTCACAACACATTCCACAGCATTATAAATCTTCATTGTAAAAGTTATGCCCATTTCACCAATTTGTGCGAAACCTCCTCAGTGTAAACGGCAACTGCTGGTGGTATTAGATCAGTTTTGTAAGACAATCTGATAACCTTGACACAGTTAAGCCAAAAAGTATTCACAGCCCTGGCAGATTTACCAAAAGGTTTGTTTTTAATATGAGACGGATATCTATCAAAACAAAATAAAATCTTGTCAAAAGAGTTTCTCTTTGAAAAAAAAAAGTATTTAAAAATAGCCAGGTTAAAAATGACCTATATTCTTCTTAATCAATGGAAAAAAAAAAAAAAAAAATCTTCATTTGCATTTACAGCAATTAAAGCTTTCTTTGAGTTCTGGTCAGCTTTGCATGTTTCCACTGGTGTTTTCATGATCGCAAAATGTTAATGTTACTTCAATTTAAGGATAGGCACTATGTTTGGAAAACTTAATCACAATGTTTTGGGGTTTTTAATGGAATAACAATAAGTGATATTAAAACAATTCAAAAAACACATTGTTAACTTTTTCTTGTTAATAAGATAGGAACTGAAGTTAAAGTCCCACAAACACAAATACTGCTCTAATAAAAATTATTTTTTATTACTTAATATGGTGCTTCAGGACACAAGTAGTTTAGGTTTAGCATCATACAATAACTGCATTTATTTTTTAAGAAAACATGTATTGCTGTTTTTATGGAACCAACAGTGAAAAAAATGACAATACATGGTATGATGATCCTCATCTCCACTTCCAGTCAAAACCTAAACCTCCAGGGATATAAATAAATCTGGGTTTAACTTTATAACACAAAGTATGCTTTATTGGTTGCTAAATTACAAAAAAAAAAAAAAAAAAAAAAAAAAAAAAAAAAAGTGGGGGAGCCCCCTTTTTTAATAAATTTTTTTTTTTTTTTTTTTTTTATATATTTTT